GGAGCCTTAAGAAAATCTCTATGTAAGTGGATTGCACAGTAGCTCTTTCTAAAAGAGGTTTAGGTACTTTAATGCCCATTAGTAAAACTCAAGTACAGTCAGTTTCTAGTCCAGAACAAAACAAGAACATACAGGCCATTAAGTTATTGAGGTCAAGAGACAAGGGGGAGGGTTGGTGGTTACCGTTATTCTGAAGAGGGGCGTCTGGGGGTCCTACTACATGCCTTGTAGTTAGGGCTGCCACAAACGATTGTTTTGATAGTCGACTAGTCACCAATTATTTTTACGATTAGTCGACTAATCAGATCATGCATCCACTGGACGTAAAATGTATAGATTATTGCACCAGCATGCATCTGCTCTTATATAACTATCATTAGCTTACAGCTTTAAGTGTTTAAGGTATGTGCTAACTAAAAATAAAGACAAGATGATAGTTTATTAAATTTTAATGGAATTTGCAGATTGTTTCGGTGAAGTTTAATAAACTCCTTGCTATCTAAAATATAACGGGACACCGGAGTATATTCTCGAGCATCTCACACTTCTGATAATCAGCTGTCTGCTTGACGTTTATTCAGCTGTGCAAAAACTATAACTTTAATCTCAGCCAAACCAATTTACTCAGGAACAAATAAAATACTAAAAAAAGCCAAACAATAACATTTTTAAGTTATCTAAGTGACTTATAACTAACTAGCTGCCGCCATTGTTGGAAACTGAGCTGGGCTGCGCTATGAATTCTGGGACACAGCTAATTCTTCTTCTTCGGGGTTTAACGGCAGCTGGCATCCTTGTACATGCAGTGCTATAGTTTAAATATTCTTGTTTTATTGTCAGAGTACAATTTGCGTTACTCCTTTACACAGTGCACAACTCTGCCTGGATCAGCTGAGTTTTGTGGTTGTGCTCTATCAAGCATGTGTTCCCAACAGAGAAGTTGCAGAGTATGCTGGTTAACAAGGTACAAGGTCAACACACATGACATAATGTTTCTACTCAGATATTAATTGATACTAAAAACAATTACTGATGCACCAGTCATTTCCAGCAATATTGATGCCAACAGTGTAATCATCACCTCCTTGATCTGACACATAACTTGACAACCACACCCAGACAAGCATGTGCACAGCCCTCGCTTTCGCTAGCAGATAAATACATGAAGAGCAGCAAAAAAACTTGGTGAAGCATCATAAACATTAGCTATTAGTTATCATTAATATAGCAGCGAGCAGAAATGATGAAAAATAAAACCACTCTATTAAATTGGGAGAGAAGTAGGCAGCAAATGTTAATGCTCCTGTCCATATATAACATAAATAGTTATTTGTCTTAAATGTGATATCGTTGTCTTAAAGTTCCTGATTAAAGTTAAGAAAAGTCTACCAGCAGCCAGATAGAAAGGGTAGAAGTCTACTTTAAAAATATTTAATCCGCAACAAAAATGTGATGCAAATTAACCAGAAGCACATGAGGTAATAGAGGTTATTCCTACAAACATTTGCACAGATCAGTATTCGGTATCAATATCAATACTAAGCTTGAGATGATAGCATTTTGACAACCCTAGTCTTTGGTTACAATCTTTAGAGTTCAGATTAGTTTCCATTTGAATGACCCGTTTACAACAAGCTTCCTCTTTCTGGTTCATGGTTTGTAGCTTCTGCTTATATACCCATATTTTAGCCTGCATAAAAAACCTATTTAGTGAAGTGTGAACTATCTTTTCTGTAAAGTAATGCAATATTTTTCTTGTAAACTTTTAAACTTTGCTTGGGTTGGGGTTGGGCATGACCAAACAGTTTCATCATACCCAAGGACAGGAACAGGAGATCTTTATCGGGGGTGTTTTTGGCAGTTTTGGAGCATTGGCTTCTTCCTTTGGATTAACCTTTTAGTTTATGTCTGCATTATCTGTTTGTTTGTTTGACTGTATGCTTTTCATACAAGTTTCACACAAGACAGATACAAACTTATAGCAAGATTTATATATATAAAAGATGTATCGAGGTGACATAACTCAAGTGAGCTTCTTACCCTCTGGCATTACTGGATTGAAAGTGAAGTAATCTGTCTGTAAAAAGTAGTTGAAAAAATGTCTTTGTGTCTTGCATAAAGTAGATGTCCAAATCAACTATGGTTTGCTAAGATGAAATATGTGTAGAGGTTGGAGCAGTAATTTTTATAACTTATTGTTTATGTAAACACATGTTCATATGTAAGTGTTCAAGCTCAAAATGAAAATGTTTGCATTTTCCCAGATGAACACTCTGGGATTTACCCAGGGGTTGCTATATATGATCATTGTTGTGGCTTTAATGGTCACATTAATACATATCAAGTTCTGTTAAAATAAGAAATGAAAGTTTTGCAAAGTACACCGTGTTTCATAAAAGAATTCTTCTTCACTTGTTCAAGCAAGTAGACAGATGTTTGTTAATAAAATGGCTGGAGAAGATATCAAGTTTCATTTTTAAGTGGAAACTGAAAAGAAGAATGTATCTGTGGGAGTGACACACAAGCATTTAACTCACATGGAGACATACTCAGTTATCTGCTAGTTTGGCAATATGATATATTTCAGCTGTGTCAAGTTACTGCCTTTTCCACATTGCACCAGCATGAAGGGTCTCTTCCCATGGATACCCTCCCAGCAGTAGACTCTCTTTGTGTGCTAAGCCTCTTTCAGGTTGAAAGATTTATTGGGAAACTGGCTGGCAGCCTCTCAGCTCATATGTGAGTCAACCAGGGTCAGTATCAGTGACCCACTGGTGAAGTGATAATGAAAAATGACTGATTCCTGAAAGGAAATTTCACCATCATTACACAGACTTCACTATAGTTTCTGACTACTGTCTCGTCTCTGCACTTTCTTTTGCTTAGTGGTTTTATTTTGAAAATGTTAACCTGCTTAATAAAGCTGGTGAAGGTGCACAACTTGCAAGTAAAATAAGCTTATTTGTATATTAACTTAGGGAAATATTGTGGCCAACTTGTTAGTCATACTCATGTAAACCTCGTGAACCTCTTTGCAGTGTGAGGGGAAAATCTTTCACATCGTGGTGGATTGCACCACCACGATGCTTCCTTCCACATCTTTTCTTCTAGCATGGCTATAAACTTTATTAGTGTAACTAGCAAAAACATGCCATATAAGAAAATACAAAAAAAGAAAACAAGTTTTACGTAAAATTTAGAGGTACGTGTTGCACGGGTTCACAGAGTCCTGATGGTCATCAAAAATATCTTCAGCTTTACTGGAATGAATTGTCGTCCTTTAAGCTTTACGCCTGTGATCACTGCTTTATTTTGAATTCTTAATTTGATATATTTTGCAATGAGCCAAATAAAATTCTGTCCCGGATAGAAATATTTGTGAGTATAAAGCTACGTACGTGACATGTGAAACGAATGTAAACGGCGAATGTAACATTGAATATGTATGTGTGATGATGTGCAAAGTTTTCCCACCCATTCAGAAAAAAATATATAGATATATATACACACGTATACTGAAATCATTATACTAAGATTCAAGTTGCAGGATTGTCCCAAAGTCAAACTTCCATCCTTTGGTTGTGTTTGTGCCAAACCATAATTCTTCACTTCTGCAGTTTGATTGCAAGTGGGTTTTATGGACAGTAGAGAAATAAATGGACCTTGATATAGTCTCGATGGTTTAAATAATATCAGGACTGGTCTACAGTTCTTTGTTTGGCTTTGTTGAATCTTTTAACCACTACTAAGGCAAACCCATTTAGAGCCTACAAAGCCTGTGCACCATGACTGGAGGACTTAATGAATACTGTGGCCTCTTGCTGTGCCCAGTGTTGTTCACATCTATGTATGTGAATGTCTGCACATCAAAGCACTAGCTTTAAGTGTATTTATGTAATCACCTGCTGCATGTTTTCATATGGGGAGTGGTGTAAGGTAAGCAGTGGTAGATACTGAGATAAGAGGGTTTTTTCTGTTCCTGTTTTCCATGTATTTTAAGTGCCATGCTGGGAGGTTTACCCTATTGATTGTTCAAAGCATGAAATAAGAACACAGAAAGACCACGCTCTCCCTTCCTCAATCTAAGGTGACAGCTTTATTGTCCTTGGCCACTCAGCTAAACCTTTGTCTCTGATCAAGTAGAGGGGACCCCAGAGGAAGAGGGGGGAGGAGTAAGAGGGGGTGAGTATTCCCCTAAAGCATCGAGCAGTTCTGGACCTATTTCTCCAGCTATTAACTTTAAGATAAATCTGACACAATTAGGCCAGAGTGAGATTTTCTCTTAATGTTCTCTTGAAAGAAATGCTAATCCTCTCAGAGCCTTCAGTTTTTGCCTCTTTCTTTGCCAGTATCTCAAAATGTTCCTGCTACCAGCCAGAGCATCGTTGTCCGCAGGCAATGACGTTTGCTGTGAGAATGAAGCAGGATAGTTGCCTGTGTTCCACCTCCAGGGCCTCATAAGGGCTCAGTACTGAGGAATGTGGCTCAGTTCATTAAGGCTGGAGTTCTGCACAAACAGTGTGCATCCAGCTTTCTGCATCACATGATCAGTTAGCGGCTCTCCCCCAACTGCCTGTTGCCACAGGCAACCGCTAACAATTGGAGCAGTAGAAGGGCCTCCCCTCATACCATTCATGTGTGCAGTCAGTGTTCTTGTTTTTGCCCCTCAGACAGCATCTTCCCTCCACGACCCCCTACGGATGTTTTGTTGTTACTATTTGTTTTTACTAGGAGCACATTGTGGAAACTTCATGTTCAAAACGTGTTGGCTGTTGCAAAAGTTTCCACTTTGTGCAGGAAATCACCTGAAAATCACATAAAAAAAGATGTCAAACTCCATATTGAATAGAAAAATGTTTTAATGCAGTATGTAAAATGTGCAGTCAGCGTTTTTATATTAATTACTCCCAAAAGATTTGCTTTTCACAACCATATTTGTGAGTTTGAATTACATATGATGATGAGTTTTCAACTAAAAAGTGTTTCTTATGTCTCAACAGGAGATCGTGTTGGTAGAGGGCAGCCGCGTGTTTGACTCATGGAAAAAACCTCCCCCTCCTGTCTACATGCAGTTTTTCTTCTTCAATGTGACCAATCCAAAAGAGTGTCTTGCAGGGGCAAAGCCAGAAGTTAAACAGATTGGACCGTACACGTACAGGTAAGAAGGAGGAGCAGAACCTGTCAACTTCTTGTTGACATGAATGTTAGCAAACAGATGTTTATGGTGAGTGTAAAAAAAAGAAATCACTGAACGCACACAATCTGGTAAATGTGCTCTGGGTAGAGACTGTAAATAAAAGATGGATGTAGCCACAGGGACATGACAAATACCTTTTTGACTCAGGCTACGTCCACACGTACACGGCTATTTTTGAAAACGGAGATTTTCCGTTTTTGTTTTAAAAAATAATCCCGTCCACACGTAAACGCAGAAATGAAGGAAAATGCTGCTAGGAACATGCCAAAGCAACAGGTGGCGATATACTCCTAACCGTGTAGAAATGTTGGCCAATCAGAAGTCTAGAAGCCTCGGTGGGAAATAGTAAACAAAGCTGGGGCATAGAAGCAGAACCCAGTCGTATGTGTGGAGGGACAGTAACTGTGTGTGTATATGTAAGCATTTAAACACTGTAGAGAGTACAATTAACAGTAACAGTATTGTAGAAATTCATTTCACCGAAACAATAATGTGGCGCACAGTGTAACGTCAAAAAAGGCGCACACCTTTGACGCTGCGTTTTCTGCGTTTTCCATGTTTTTCTCGTCCACACCTAAATGCAAAAACTGAGTTTTCGAAAATATCCACCCTGGCAGGCGTTTTTAGAAATCTCAGTTTTCAGTGACCGAAAACGCCGTTTTACGTGTGGACGAAAGGTGCAAACGCATAGAAAAATCTGCGTTTTCAAAAATACCCGGGTACGTGTGGACGTAGCCTCAGTGTTTTCAAGCCTCAGTGTTAGCCTTTTGACTACCACTGTATGTCTTTTTGGAGCCAGATGTTGCCATATTTGAATGAAAGGCTGGAATGCTAAGGTATCGGTTAATGCTAGCAACCTTATTAGCAAGTTGCAAACATATACTGGGATAGACAGACATGTCAGATAATCAATGCTAAGTATTTAACTGATAAAATGCTAAAATTTCACTCATCAAAACTAAACGATAAACTTCTTAGACAGTATGTACCAAGCAGTACGCAATATTATGTGCACCAAACATGAAGAAGTCCAGTTTGCTTAGGTGAAGCCTAATAGATACTAGATGGCTCCAGTGACCTGTGTTAGGACTACAGTTGGCAAATGTGATGTGACGATTAAGGGTGGGTCTGACTGTGAAAGGGCACACTAATTATTTCTCGTTAGCCCATAAACATGCAGTTTCATATCACAGAAAAGCTTACATTTTGAGACATGCTATGTCCAAGATTTACAAAGAAGATGTAATTCTGTATTCAGTATTATTCAAAATGATTGTCTGAGTCCATAACCTTGCCATGAACGTGTTCATAGAGGTTTGTCTTATCTGGGACCGTAAGTCTTTTTGCAATTACAGCAATCACCATCTAGTGGGCTACAGATTGAATGCAGATTTGTAGGCATTTCTATAAAGGCTTAATTTTTCTGGCTATAAACGTGGTTTATTAATGCTGTAAAATTTGGCAAACGTGATAGTATAAAACATATTAAATATATATAATACCACTGCTACTGTGTTGCCATATACTGTGCGTGTTGAATTTTTGCTTAGGTTTTCTAGGCTGGGCCACAGGTCAAAACCCTCAGGCTGTGTCATGTGGTCTTCTGCTTTTCTGCTTCCTCTTTTGCAATCTATTACTTTTGTCTTGTCTTGTCCTCAGTAGGCCTTTTTTATTTTTTTGTGTGGGTTGCTAGTTTTTAATCACTAGTCATCAAAATCCTGCACTCAGTTAAGCCCTAAATGATGATAACTGCTAAAGCATCAGAAACGTTGCAACAGCCAACATTGCGTGTCATGATAATCTATTCCTAGAATGTCATTTTAACAGTTTTGGGTTGGTTAATTTCAAAACAATGAATGATAAAACTGTTGCTTCACAGCAAGAAGGTCCTGAGTTTGACTCCCCAAACTGGCTGGAGCCTTTCTATGTGGAGTTTGCATGTTCTCCGTGTATCTGTGTGGGTTTTCTCTGGGTCTCTCTCTCTCTCCCACTGTCTAAAGACATGCACTTAATGTGGTTAGGTTAACTGGGGATTCTAAATTGCCCATAGGTGTGAATATAAATGTTAGTCCTGCGTTGCACTGGCAACCTGTCCAGGGTGTTCCCCGCTTCTCGCCCTATGATAGCTACAATAGGCTCCAGTACCCGCCACGACCCTGATAAGTGGAAGCAATGCAATGTTGTGCTAAAATACAAATGCAGTGCTACGTTTATGTGGTCTGCGTTTGGAGATTTTAAATGACACTCTTTTCCTGCGTTTGCACAGGGAGTACAGGTACAAGGACAACGTAAGCATGGTGGCAAATGGCAAAATGGTCTCCGCGTATAACACGAAAAGCTTTGTGTTCCTGAGGGAGAAATCTGTGGGTGATCCAGCTGAGGATAACATCACCACTGTCAACATCCCTGCCTGGGTGAGTCATGAACTGAAAAAGTAGAGGAAAGTGGAAATCCAAGTGGGTTAAAGAGGACTTTATGTTCTCTTTGTTACTGAACATTGTTTATTGTGTCCTCATTTCCATCTCATTGTCTACCACCACCCTCTACCTTTGCTAATTTTTTTTCCTCACAACTGCTTCCGTTCCTGTCTCCAGGCTGTCATGAACAATGTGAAAGGTAGTTTCTGGAGGGCCCCCATGGTTTCAATCTGGATGAACTCTCTCAAGAGTGATCTGTTCACTACACGCACTGTGGATGAACTGCTTTGGGGCTACGAAGATCCTCTGCTGGTTCGCGTTGCTGGCACCAAACCTGAGGTGGAGACGGTGTTTGGACTCATGTACAAGGCATGTAACAGCTCTTTACAAGTAATATAAAGCTATGAAAAGAAAGTTGTCAGAGCAGATCCTCCATGAAGTCTTGAAGAATTTTTGTTTCTCCAGAAATAACATTTGAAAAACATGTTTTGAATTATTATTTTTTTATTTAGAAAAATGGAAGCAACGACGGTGAATTTATCTACCACACTGGAGAGCAGAACTACATGGATTATGGCCGGATCGAAACATGGAAAGGCCAAAGGTAGCGCTGATGCAGTCTCACGCAAACACACTCTCCCTCTCTGTCTTCATCCAGAGTGATGAAATTTTATTGGGTAACCTTTGTATTAACAAGCCTGTGAAATCCTTTTTTTTCTCCTTTTTTTGGCAGTAATAGAGATACTGTCTGCCTGCCTTCATCCTGATCTTTGCCCTTAACACAGAGCACAGAGCAGGATATCCTGATGCCTTAAAAATGGCCTTTACTGAACCTTCTTATCCAGTTTTATTGTCTTAGGTCCCCTGGAGCCTCTAATTACGCTTGTGCTTCTGGGTGTTTTTTTTTAAACTGTGACTTTCAGATAAAAACACATTTGATCATCAAAACGTACCACTGCAATTTACGGTTATTAAGATGAAAACGATAAATTTGTTTTCACTGGACGGGATTATTTTGAAAACGAGATTAGTTTTCTTTTTTCTTTTCTTTTTTTCGATTTTAAATACAAGCCTGCACATTCCAAAAGCCTTTTTTGGTTGTTTTGTAGGGAGTTGACTTTCTGGAGCTCTAACTATAGCAACAGCATTGTTGGATCAGATGGAAGTGCTTTCCACCCCCTGCTTGACAAGGATGAGCGCATTCACATCTTTACTCCAGACCTGTGCAGGTACGTTTCATCACCACAGTGCACTCCAGCCCTTTTGGTGGTATGCCAACCACATCTTAGGCTTTGTGTGGTGGGAAGGGTCAGATCCTTCCCTAGGAAATAATTCAATCAGACATTTTATTTTATCCACTGTGGTGAAGTTTTGTGCACCAGTTTTTATTTTTTCTGTACTAATGTTTAGTTTAGTTTTTAGCTACTATATACGTAGCAAAACCCGGACCTTTTTTTAAAAAAAAAAAAATTCCATTCTGTGACCATGGTTTTTTTTTTTCCTGTAAAGTTGGTCTTTTTTTATCACAAGTCTGTGGGGAAAAGCTCATTTTGGAGAGAACCTCAAGTGGCCATTAGAGGAACTGCAGTTTTTATTTTCCTGCTCTTGGAGCTTGGCTATAGCTAAAAATTACTGTAGCTGGCAAACAGGAGGAGGGAAAGGGCATCAGCTTTGACGTTAATTTTATTAGTCATGTGGTAAAAATAAAGTGTTATTTCAATTAAAGAGTTTTTCAGTAAAACACATGTAATGTGGTTACCATGGGGACCTGTGTGCCCCTATCTGTTTACACTTAGTGTCCCATTTACATTTTAAATGGGGATTGCATGTTCTATTTCTGGTACATGACAAGCAGACCAGTGTGGAGGCTTTCACATCTAGTATGGAAATAATGTCCACAGCCTGTGGATCACATGGTATGTTATTTTAACATCCTGATCACTTACAAACAGCTCAGTGGGTGACCTCTCTTTGCTGTTGACTTTTCTGCTTAAAGCACGAGGAGTGTTTGAAACACTTAAGTGGCATTTTCCAGAAAACACCATGAAAAGGCTTCCTTATTAGGAGAGTTTCCGTCTGGAACATCAGGGACAGGGTGAGAGAGGGAATGCAAGGACAATTGTGGAATAACAGAAAATAAGGAGAGAGAGAAAGAAAATGTTTTTAATGGTTGATGATTGATGGTAAGTGTTACTTTGTGCTAAGCACAGCACAAGTATTTCCTCTTGGAAGTGTTTGTGAGAAATGTTCTCAACTAATGCTTTTGGGGAAATTTATTATGGTTCCTCCAGGATTTCCAGGATGTCTTTAGAGACAGTTTGACGACTGCTGAGAATCGCAACGAGTACCAAATTTAATCCCAAACCTTGTTTGTTGCAAAACAGACGTGCTGCTTCCCTAGTGTCCATAGCAAGAGTTTGTCCTTTAGAGAGCACAAGCTGTTTCGGACGTCTTCCTCATGTTGTTGAGCGTGGAAAGAATCTGGAAAGTCGGAGTGGAATGGTTGCACCTTTGACTCTGATTGGACGTGTGTCAAAAACCCCTTCACCAAATATTTACAAAGCACTTTCACCTACTTGTTCTTGGCCTGGTTGTGTCATCATGGCGTCTGTGTTACTGTGACTAAAGGAAATACGCCTCCCCCCTTTATTGTACTTACTACAATTATTTGAAGTGGAAGTGCTCCATTAATACATGACGACCTTTCACACAGATCCTCAGCCCTGTGTATAAGTCACTCGCTTAACATAACTTTGTGTTTAAAACACATGTTTAGTTAAAAGAGAACATCTGGGACTGATGCATAGCAGCAGAATTCCCATCTGTGAGCTAAACTGGTGGTGGCCTCTTGGTCCAGAAACTGACAGCTGAGCTACAAAAAAAAAGATGAATTGGTAACATGTGTCATTGTTCGAATACCAGCTTCACCATCCTTTTGCTCTTCATCATCATTACTGACTTCATGTCAGACGTGTTGAAAAAAGAAAGTCAAAAATACACGAATATTAAATGACAGAAATAATAGACTCTCTTATATCATTTTAATTTAACCAGCCCTGTGACACTTTTTCAAAGCCTTCATTCTGTATTTAGTGGTAACTCAAACAAAATTGCATCGCAAATACATTTTGGAGAAGTTACGTACGAGCAAGAACCCTACAGAGGGCTGAGTTTAAAGACACCCTAAAAATGAAAGCAAAGAAATTATGTACAGCAACTACGCAGCAACTCAGAGGTTTGCTTGGTAGTAGCCTGACAACATCGGGGCGTGCTCCTAATGAGATGACAGATGGTGCCCTGGGGGATGTCCTCCTAGATCTGAACCTGGGTGTCACTGACCTCCTGTGCAATCTGAGGTGCGTAGGATGGAAACATAATCTCACAGAAGTGTTCTATGGGATTTAGATCAGGTAATGCATGGGGTCCAGTCAGTGGTAACTGTTAGGGTGAATTGTTAAATGTTTGTCATTTTTATGTTTGCCATTTGTACATTGTTTTAATTCTGTGAAAGGAATTCTTTCTGTCCTCCCCTCCCCAGATTCTCGAGGTTCTAGGTGGGGGGCTGTAGTCTTTTATCATCCTTGTGCTTTTGATGTAAGCTTCCTGCGTTTACGACCCTTTGGTCAGCAGGAGGTCTACCACACACACACACTCTCACATAACACACACACACACACAGACACATTCTTACAGAAGTTCACATATACATACAATGCTTTGTCTTAGAACCATGTGGGCGTGGCTTTGTTCTGACGTGTTTTGTGTGAACTGTTTCTCAATAAAGGCAGCAGGAGGAGGTCAGATCTAGAGGTCATTTTCGTGGTGGACACAGACGAGGCCTCCCTTGCGCAAATAATCGATCGATCGACTGTCTTGTTTTCTTCATGATGAATAAGTCTCTAGAATTAGCGGGGCTTGTGGAAACACAGACCCAACAGTAACAAATTCTTCAACCTTCAAGACCTGCCTCCATAGTCTCTGCACATGAGATCGGACATTGTCTTTCACAAGGAAGAACCCAGGAACCACTGCACCAGAGTGGTGGCTCCAAGGATTCATCCCGACACCTAATTGCAGTCCGGGTGCCATTGCCTGGTCAGTGGATGTCTGTATATCCCTCCATGGATATGCCTCCACCTGCTGTGATCTGTGAAAAGCACAGATCTCCTGTGATAGACCTGCCAATTCTGGTATGCTATGGCAAATGCTAATCAAGCTCCACAGTGCTGGGCAATGAACGCAGGGCCCACTAGAGGATTTCAGGCCCTTAGACCGCCCTCATGAAGTCTGTTTCTGATGTTTGGTCAAAGATATTCAAACTCTAGGTCATTTTGTAGCAACCCGTTCCTCTTTGAGCAAGATACTGGTCCTGCTGATGGGTTAAGGACCTTCTACTGCCCTGTCGAGCTCTTCTATGGTAACACTGTAATAGTTCTCATTCCGAGCTGTATAAGGCCAAGGATTTTCACTTGGCTTTTCCCAGGAAGGTCAAGGGAAAGGTCTGTACAGTATTGTTGCACGATTGGTGGGCTGCACCCTCCCAACCAGCTGGCAGACACTGTATAGAGTGCTTTGTTCTCACTAAGACTGGTTGGGATTCCCTCGACAGGACAAAGCTGCAGATATGCAGGGCAAGGATGAACTGCTCTCAGTTCTCTTGGATGTTGGGAAAAAACACCACACACACATTTAAAGATTTCACAGTGTCTTTGCTCCCAGTACTAAAAGAAGGTTAACACCACAATATATCATTTGTCTTCCCTGCTCCCCTTACAAGTCTAGATTTACTGATGAAGGAGCCCCAGCAGGATTTTAGCATATTGTTGGAATCAATGTCAGTCATCTGCTTCCTCTTTGTGTCTCTGCTGAAAGTCAGTCTGCAGTGTTTTTTTTACCTAGTTCAAACAGTCTTTCTTAAATAACATAACAGAACATTTCTCATGACCGCATTGCTTGTTATGAAGTTCCTCACCAAAGCTGCAGTCCTTAAAAATATTAGTTTGAAGTATTCAGCATTCACACAAAGTTCCAGCAGTCACGTGTCACTATGAAATGCTGTGCTCTGAGTGAAGTTAATTGTTTTTGTGCAATGTGACTGTTCGCTTTATTCTCCAGGACCATCTACATGGAGTTTGAGAAAGACGTCGAGGTGAAAGGGATCCCAGCGTACCGCTTCACACCTCCACCCTCTGTCCTGGCCAGCAAAGAGGAGAACCCGAACAATGAGGGTTTCTGCATCACCCCAAAGGAGTGCCTGGGAACTGGCGTCCTTAAAGTCAGCCCCTGTCGGAAAGGTAATTGGTGCAGCACAGTTTCTCTCGGAAACTTTCCATGCATCAGTCACGATTCAGCACCAACATAACCCATTTTATTCTTTTCTCCAATTTCTTTAATAACGACACAAAAGCTTTGCTTAGACTCAATGTCCAATGTAGTAGCCATTAAATACTAATGGCTACTACACTGATATCAATAAAGTCCTTCTTTTGTTTGTAATGCTAATACCCTCTAAAATACCCATGTGACACAGCTCTCCCCACACCTCAGGCGTCATCTGACATGACTGACCCAGTAGCAGAGTGGGCGGTAAGCCCTGTCACCTGATTCTGCCCTTGAATATGACCGGGCATTACCTCAGTGTTCATAGCTCAGCTGTGCCTCATCTCTCCATCCTGTAAAATCACAGTACTTGTGGTTTCAACATTTCTTTTACATATTTAAAGTAAAAAATGTGGAATGTTTTACATGGTCAATGCAGTTGATGGCCCGTACTGCACCTTTCTGTCACAGCATGCAGCCATTTCTAACTAGTTTCACAGAGTTATTCCAGCAAGTGAACGTCGAGCCCTGTTTTTTCTCACGTCAAGGTTTTATTGTTGTGAAGTGATACATTTGAAAAACTCCGTGCTTTGCTTCAGAGTAATGTAACTGTGCCAAAGATTAAAACAGACGTCACAGATTGGCGTTCTCAAAAGGATTTTCGTTGTCCACTAAAACAAATGGAACAACTGCAGTTCACTTTAAAGGTAAAAGTATTTTTGAGCTTATGAATGTTGTTTAGCCATAAAGAGAAATTTGATTGCGTGTTTATGGCCCGGAGTTAAAGAACAAGCGTAGTAAATAAAGGCTTCTATAAGTACACCAGTATATGTGTGTGTTAGCACGCCCGCATTGACCTTGCCAGTTGTCATGTGAACAGCCTCTCAGGTGACTGCGTGTGTCCAATGTTTTTGTCAAACGTCTGTTGCTAAACAGAAGAGCAGGAAAACTCTCACCTCTGCCCCACTTTATCAGCACCTCTAACTGCCCCCCCCCACTCCTCTCATAGCTGTCTGACTTTGTCGCTGCTGTGGGGACACATGGGTTTTTCCACCGTTGGACCATTTGTGTTTGCTTGGGCCACCCACCAAAAATGTATCACTCGACTTTAAGATTGCGAGTTTGACCAAGGTGATGTTGTAGGAACATGAAGTCCTCGAATGACAATATAAGGAAGGAACTCAGAAAGACTAACAAGAAATTTTATCTGGATATCAGCTGCCGCCTTTAATTCCTCACACAACAGGGGTTATTGTCCATTTGTGATGATTTATTGTTTGTTTTTGTTTTTCCAAGTAACATGTTGCGTCCCTGTCAGATCGTGTCTCACCACCTTCTTCGCCTTTTGATCTGTTTTGTTATTGTTGTCATGCCTTGATTAGATCAGACTTCAAACATGAAGGAAATGGGGCATTAAAATGTTTTCTGTGCTGCCGCTTTAATGGCAACAGTAATGTCATCTTTGTGACGCTTTGCTTAACATGTGTAGATTCGCCATAGTCGTGTGAAAAAGAGGTTCGAAGGTTTTACATAGGAGACATAAAACACGATCTGAACAACAGCACGTGACTTTTCTACTCTGCTTGAGCACTCAAAGTGCTTTATACTACAAGCCTCGTATCTATATAGCATTGAGACAGTCACACTCAATTCAGGGTTCAAAATTTTGCCCGAGGATGTCTTGGCATGCAGATGGGAGCTGCCAGGGTTCGAGCCATTAACCTTCCAAGCAGTAGACAACATGATCTAGATCCTGATCTCTCTTCTTTTGAAGAGAAGAGGCTTTCTCCTTTTCTAGATTGGGTCACTTTAGTGTGAAATGAAGGCCTTGCAGCAGAGGCGTGCGGGAGCTCGAGTCTTATTAAACATTTATCATTTCTTCTCTCAGGTGCGCCAGTGGTTGCCTCCTTTCCTCATTTCTACCTGGCAGATGACAAATATGTGGCTGCCATTGAAGGACTGTCACCTGAAAGGACGCATCACCAAACTTTTCTAGACCTAAACCCGGTGAGTCTTTAGGCCTAGGGTCAAACATTGAGATGTACTGCTACGCCACCTAGTGGTGGAGTTCTGAAGTGTATCTTTGTTTATATACATTATTTTCTGACAGACCACTGGAGTGATTGTACGCGCTAACAAAAGAGCACAGGTGAACATCTTGATGCAGCGAATCCCCGGATTCCCGTGAGTAACACACACTTCTGTTGTTGTTTTAAACGTATGCGTGTAGGTGCTGTTTTTGATTACCAACCATATTTTTTGCTGCACTTTTAACAGGAGCACTAGATTCCTGAATGAAACAGTATTTCCTGTAATGTTCCTAAATGAGGTAAGTGATATTACACATGCTGAAACACAGGAAGCTCCTAGATCCTTATTATGAGGTGCAATAAAGAAATTAAACAGTATGTCAACATTTTGAAAAAGACAAGTGTTACTGAGCGTTAGATGATTATGTCGGTCCAGCTTTACTGAGCTGAGTGTGACTTGGAGTAAAGATAGAAAACAGCAGGAAACAAGCGACCTGGCTCTGAACTAATGTAACCGGCACAAGGGTGCAATGAGCAGAGAGTCCAAGTAGTAACTGTCTCCCAGCCAGGAAATAGTCCTCATAACCTCCCTAAAGACACAGCTTTGTGTTTTTTCACATGGGCCTCACAGCAAGAATGTCCTGTTTTAGAATCCACCAGCCTGCTGGGGCTCTTCTGTGTGGAGTTTGCATGTTTGCTTGCCTGCATGGGTTCCTCCCTCGGGACTCCTCCCCTCACACTGATTGAGCAGTTAGAAAAAGACAGACAGATGCATTGATTAAGAACTAAACATAGTGCTTAGTAACACAATTAAGTTGTGTTTTTCTGGTGGTACAGCAACTAGTGCAGGTTTCCAGTTGAGATAAGAAGAAGCCCAGCTCATTCAAATTAGGCATTGCCAAGCTAATTTGGTGTTTTCCACTGAACATGTATCTCTCAGCTGTGTATCCAGTCTCAAAGGGATTTCTTTTCAAGAGATTTAGACAAGGCCAACATAATCAAAAGTAGATTTGGTTCCCAAAAGTCAAAGCCTGGTTAGATTTTCCCACATTTTCAGCCTTGATGCATTAGTACTGATTGGTTTCTTCATCTTCTGTATGCTCAGCTGAATTCCCCTCTTCCTCTGATGGATCTTTTACTCTCTCTCTCTCTCTCTCTGAATAAACAGAGCGTGGAAATTGACGATGCATCTTCAGAGAGATTAAAGAAGCTTCTGCTGATTAGCAATTTGGTGTCCAACTTCCCTCTCGTCATTGTGGGACTGGGTGTTATTCTGCTCATGGTCTTTGTCATCCTCCTATGCCGGGCTCGCAAACAGAAGGTATGAGACTGCTTCTTGCTGAGTCCTAACAACTTACAATTTGCCTGCTCCTAATAAGTCATAATTTTTGCACAATTCATTCAGTTGCTTAATTGCACACTAATAACACCGAGCTTGTGCTTCTCACTGTGTGTTCCTGGGCAGAATGAAGTTAAGCGCATTGTGTTTACCAAGCCTCTTTATGCTGTAAGTGTTGCTGCTTTATTTTATCTGCTTTATTTATTCATCTGTCTTACTTTGGTTATTATTTATCACCTAAGTGCCTTTTTCCATTTAATCTTTCATTGCACAGCTAGACCAGTTTCACCTGACTTAAAATAACTCTGCTAATGTACACTTAATGCATTGCATATTAATACTGCCTGTCTTTTTAATTGTTGTGAGATGGCATGATTAAGGGAAACCAACCACTTTCCATTACAGGTATAACTTTACAAATTGTAATAAGACCTGATTAGTTTGTAAAGCTGCTTTATGTCCTTAATGTCCCTCTACAGTCGTCTGCTGAAGACGACACCACTTACTCTCCAGTTAATGATAAAGAGAAGGAGGATCCCCAGAATGGAACCTACATTGGTCTGACACCTAAGGCTAACGTGGAAGCTTGAGGATGAGCAAGGGGTCTGTCATAGAGGGCTCAGGTGAAGAGGATATGTTTTTAGTCTCAGATGTCTTGTATTATATGCTCTTAGGTTTCCTTAGAGAGCGCTAAACTCTATTCCCAGACAAACAGTGTTTAGAACACAACAGTGGCTTCTTCTAGCTGCTGCTAATTATGTAAAATAGTTGTAAACAGTCGTCCAATAAGCAGAGATGAAGAGTGTGCTCTGTGGTGGTTCTCAAACAGGGGTCCCCAATCCCAGTCCACGAGGGCCGGTGTCCCTGCTTTTAGATGTGTCCTTGATCGATCACAGCTGATTTAAATGGATAAATTACCTTCTCAACATGTCTTGAAGTTCTCCAGAGGCCTGGTAATGAACTAATCATGTGATTCAGGTGTGTTGACGCAGGGTGAGATCTAAAACCTGCAGGGACACCGGCCCTCGTGGACTGGGATTGGGGACCCCTGTTCTAAAACAATCACACCCTTTAAATAACGGAGGATCAAAAGTGCCAAAATTAAGAAGACATGGAAAAAAATGAGTAAATTAAGGTTAATGGAATTTATTACATTATTTACAATGCATTTGTAAATGATTGTGTTTGCTGTTGTATTATTTACCTTTGTACTATGGCTCCATAGTAGAGTTGTTGTGATTGACACCTCAGTCACACTCAGGCCAGAAACTGGTCAGTGACCCCCTGGCAACCTCCCATATTATTTACATTTGTCATAATTATTCTATTTATCTACAATCAGATTTAATTTCATCTCTCTGTTGGCGTTTTTGTGTTTTTTGAGTGGGTTGGGGTTACATTACAGCTAACAAGTAGATTTCCTGTTTTGGTCCCAACTAGCCAAACAACAAAGAACCACTCACTGCTTAAGGAATGGAGAGTGAAAGTGGACATTATATTCTTGTTTTTGTTTTTTAACGTAACATTCATTGTTGCAGCCAAAGAGACTGCTTTTCCCAGACCGCCTTTATTAGTCTGTTTTAAGTGTCCTTGTTGTCCACTGAGTTACTGAGTGTCGCTAGTTAGCTAACATAAGCTAATGTAAGTCTATTAGCAGCAACCAATCCAGTAATGTCATATTCTGTACGGGCGCAATATAGCACTAAGCATGTTATAAAAACACATATTTTTTTAAATCCAGCTTCACAGACAGTTTATAGAGGTTTATTTGGAAAAGCAGATTTGTTTGGCACAACAGTGCATTTAAATCATAATTATGATATATTTTTTTTTAAATTTGGCAATTTTGGTCCTCCATACATAGTTAACTTCCTTTCATTATGGCTAAACCAATTTGTCTTGCTTTAGACTTCAGATTTTATGGAATGATTACTTGTACAAGCGCACCGAAGTCATTTAGGGAGCAATGTGATGAAATCCTTAAACTAATGATTGTTTGGGGTGTTATATTTCACTCTCAGGGGGTCTCATCTTAGATGCTGTAAAGCAGTTATTAAAGCAGGAGAAAGAAAGCACAATATACCGGATGATAAATCAGTGTTACTATGTCTCATTTGCATTTCATGTTACAAAAAAATGTCACATCATAATATTTTCTGCTCATCCATGGCGCATAGAGGGATATCTAACAAAACCAGCATACCTGAGAATCTTCAGAGTATGGCATTTGTTTGTATATACATACAGTGTAAGAAGTGATGAACTGCTTACATTCCTCTCAGCGTATGATGGGGATGAGTATCGGACAAAACACTGTATATTTTGGAAATTTTAATTTGTAAAGTAAGACCAGCCTTGCTTTATGGTTTTTTGTGTTGTTTTTTTTTTTTTTAATGTGTCATTGTAGAAATGTTTGAATTAAAGACATTTCATGTAAGAACTTTATAAATATTTATAAAGCTCTAAAACCACGGCAGATTTTTTTTGGTTGAAACCATGATTCAGACAGTACAGAATTTATGTGTTGACAGTATTTTGCCCTGTGTAACTGTTTATGACTAAGTGATATACTTAAATGTCTTTTAGATGCTGTAGTTGTGTCTTTAAAGTTACTGGATTTCTTGTTCCTTTTAAAGATTTTTGTTGCGTGAACATAACACTGTGCCATATCAACAAATCTACTCGTGACTTTTTTTCCTTCTTCTTCTTTCAGCTACGAAAAATAATTAAATAAATAACAAAACCTTTTGATATTTCTAATATCAAACAGTAGGGTCAAACTGCACTTTGAAAACTCTCTGCCTGACTAGCAGGTTGTTGTGCAGGGTCACAGTTTTCTCACTCGATGCTGGTGATGAAAATGTGCCGTCATAATGTGATCTGGAAAATGCTGCAGAATTCCTCCGTTAGAACTGTGACGAGTCCGGCTTTTATTACTGCTCATGTAACATTTTAATTAAAGGCTTATATGCACTGTGATAATCGTAATGACTATATCAGATATTAGTGGATTCATTTGATTTTAGTAAAGTGTTTAACATGTACACTATAATAAAGAAAAAATGATTGCATTTTAGAAAATTTGTGCACAGCGTTTTATATAAGAGTTACAAACTCACAAGGAGATGAAAGACAGGATTCATCTGAATCCCTTTGAAAAATACACAATATACAGTATAAAAACTCAGTTGTGGCTAAAGAGAATAAATTATTTTGCTGTGTCGATAAAACCAAAACACATAAAGCAATGCGTGGACTGTTCGCTGAGCTACTCAGTGCCATACTTTGATTGTAGATGTTTCCTGAAAGTATTGTTACTGCCATAAAACACATACTTGTTTTGAAAATGTTGAATGTTTTTATTCTGTATACAAAAAATAAAAAAGTAGTTTCAGTACAGGTCTTGTTGACTGGTATTTGTCTCTTTTTATTTCCTTTCTTTTTTTTTTGTGAACAAGTCCAATTACAGATTCTGCGCCAAGTGACGGGGAGATAGTTGGCAATAAAATATTATCAGAATAAGTACATTGCTGATATTCTTTGTTTAAATTACTGGATCTAGTTTTTGGCTTTTGTACAGTGAGCTGTGCCCAGATAGTGATGATTTAACTCGGTCCCCAGAAAAGCCAGAAAATTGTGCTACTTCGAATTATGTTTAATTTCACTTTTTCAAATATCAGTTAGCAGATGTTTCAGCTGGCATCCCTGAAGGTAGACATGAAACGTGCAGCTTAAAGTTGCAGCTATGCTAAACATATATAGATGAGAGTTATTGGACTGTTATTGGACTTTTTACACAAAGAAAAGGTTGTTTGTTTGTTTTTTATGTAAAACCCAAATTGCAGAAAGTTGGGATGATCTTTAAATTTGAACAAAATGAAAACTAAAAGACTTTCAGATCACATGAGCCAACATTGTATTCACATCAGAGCATAAATAAATGAGCTCATTTCAAATTTGATGTTTCCTACAGGTCTCAAAATATTTGGGACAGCGACGTGTTCACCCTGATGTAGCATCTCCTTTCCTTTTCAAAACAGTTTGAAGGACGTCTGGGCCTCGAGGTTATGAGATTCTTGAGTTTTGTTGTTGGAATTTGGTCCCATTGTTACCCAATATAGGTTTCCAGCCACTGAAGAGTTTGTGGTTTTTTCGTTTAATGATGTGCCAAATGTTCTCTATAGGTGAAAGATCTATACTGCAGGCAGGACAATTCAGCACCCCGTCTCTTCTCCAACTAAGCCATGCTTTTGTAATCGCTGCAGTATGTGATTTTGCATTGTCCTGCAGAAATACACAAGGCCTTCCCTGAAATAGATGTCATCTGGAGGGGAGCACATGTCGCTCTAAAGCCTTTATATACAATATTGGCTCATGTGATTTGAAAGTTTTTTAGTTTTCATTTTGTTCAAATTTAAGAAACAAAATGTTATTTCCAAACACATAACATGCCAGTTGTACACTTGTTCAAATGCTTGTTAGTGCAATTATCTGATCTGCAACTCAATGCATTTAGGCATGTAGAGATGGTCAAGATGACTTGGGAAGAAAGATGATTTAAGTGAATTTGAATGAGGCAGGATTGTTTGTGCCATGTGGGCTGGTCTAAGTTTTTCAGAAACTGTTGATCTAGTGGGATTTTTCCAACACAAGTATTTCTAGGGTTTACAGAAAAAGGTCTAAAAAAAATATCCAGTGAGCTGTAAAGGTCAGAGGAGAATGCCCAGACAGCTTTTAGGAGAAGATTATCTCTGAACGCATAACACATCTAACCTTAATGCAGATCTGCAGCAGAAGACCACACCGATGCCACCCCTGTCAGCTAAGAAGGGGAGACTGAGGCTACAATTCACACAGGCTCACCAAAATTGGACAATAGAAGGTTGGAAAATGTTTGCCAGTCTCAGTTTCTGCTGAGACATTTGAATGGTGCTGTTGTAAACATCCTGACTTGTATCAGCTGGGCAGGCTGTTGGTGGTGCTGGTGTAGTGTTGCAGGGCATATCTTCTTGGTACATTTCGGCGCCTCTTAATACCAATTGAGCATTGTTTAAACATGACAGGCTACCTGAGTATTGCTGCTGACCATGTCCATCCCTTCTAACAGTGTACCTATTTTATGATGGTTCCAGCAGAACAATGCATCATCTCACAAATCTCAAATGATTTCAAGCAATTTTTTAACATAAAGAGTTTATTGTACTCAAATGGCCTCTACAGTCTCCAGATCTCAATAAATAGAGATGCAAAGTGCTAATTTCCATCATGCATGTGTAGAAAATAAATCTGCAGTGTGCCCAAAACTTGATTCCCAGGATTTAAACAGTTGTAAATGACACGCTGGTTTAAAATCTGTCGAGAATTTGCCAAACATATCTCTTCTGGTCATTCTGAGCCAGAAGGAAGATTCCTATTACAATGCAAAAAGCTAAAATAAAATTTCAAAAACCGATATAATTATGTAACTTATATTTTATAATGTTGGTACAGTATTGCACAGTAATAATCATACTTGCAAAGCAGGTCATTTCTTTATTTATATATAAAACCCCTTCATACCCTACTCTTGATTGCAATCTATTTACCAACATAATCAAATATATTGCACATAGAAAACACACGGAAACATCTCACTTTTTGGCACAACACCGGTCATGTTCCTTGCCACAAATATTTTTCATAAAAGTACTCTTTTTGTACCGGCGGCTGTTCAATTATCTTTTTGGGACAGCAGGTGGCGGTAGTGCACCACCAAGATGGACCAGAGTCAAACGAAGAAGCAGCAGCAGCAGAAGACGAAGAAGAAGGTGTCCGTGGTGACAGCACTCAACATGGCGTTCAATTTTGGCGGTGCCACGAGCAACCCAGCAGCAAGTATGGAAATTTTTTAGTTAATTATGAAATACTTGTAAGAGCTGGTGATGTGTCACATATTTCGTGTCGAAGCTAGGGCTGTGTTAATGCTTGTACATGAATAATAAATAGAAATGGTCGGCTAATGGTTCACCCTCAGTTGTTACGGTGGGTTCGTCTACCGGCTAAAGACAGACGTCACGTGAAAACAGAGCTTGTACACTTGAGTCAGTGCAACTAATGAATTGCAGTCGGATCTGTGTTCGCGTGTTTCGGTGCTAAACTGGGCTCCAGTGAGACCGAGCTCTTGTGGCTAACTGTTTTGGATGCCCGTGTGTAAGCTAATACAAGCTCACCCAGTACTTACAGCGCTCTCTCGTTGTTTGTTTGTTTCTAAAAGGCACGTCCGGGTTTTCATTCGGTTCATTTGGAGCCAAAACTACGCCATCAACAACATTTGGCTTCGGCACCCCAGCCACCACAACCACAGCCTCATCCGGATTCGGTAGTAAGTCCAAAGCTTAGACCCAAATTTACTCCTTGCGGGGATTATCCTGTACATGGGGCATTATCATCACGTAACCGCCACCAATGTGAACAAACCCATAACTGAGCCCACTGGGTTCCCTCAGTCTAGGGCTCAAAGCTTCTGGGTTTTTTTGTTTTGTTTTGTTAGTTAGTTTGTTTGTTTTTGTTGTGTTTTTAAAGTTTGTTTTAAGTTGAGCATTTCTTCACCTCTTGATGCACTTTCAATATATCTACCAGTTGGTTTCTTGGGTTTAAATCCTTAACATGGGCCATTTGGATGACGGGGATCACCCAACTTACAGGCACTCACTATATGGTGCACCTCGCATATACAGATAGCTGCTAATCAGTCCTAAATAACAAACTAATTAAATACTCAAATGTCACTCATAAACCCGAACTGCTTGTATGGGCAGTGCAGCATTTTGGATTAGCTGAAGGCTTTTCAGCAAGTTTTATGGACATCCTGATAATAATGAATTGCAGTAGTCCAGCCTGGAAGTAATAAATGCATGAACTAGTTTTTCAGCGTCACTCTGAGACAGGATATTTCTAAATGCTCAAAAAGGCACCAACGCTATAAACATTGTCAGGGGGTCCAGTTCGTGATGAGCTTGATAAAGACCACCACCTGAAAGGCATTGGTTGTTAAGCAAGCATTCCTGGAGCTTCTCCAAGAGGTCTGGTTATTTGGATGGTCTTTAGTCATATAGGCCTAGAGATCGGTTGGCAACCATCCAGCAACCAAATGTGTATTTTCTCACTGTTTAGCGAGTAGTTGTTGGCTGTTGTTGCTGTGAAATTGGTCTCAAAAAAAAGAATGCAGTGCTGCATTGAAGAGCCTCCTTGTGATTGCTAGCAGATTAGTGGTTGCCTATAGTTTGCATCGAAGATACACCAGCTGCTCTCCATGCACTAGTAAAACTGTGAAAAGTGTGACACAAACTGTAAACTGAGTGTTCACCTTCACAGTAAAAGTTGTATGTTTTGAAATATATTGGTTGAAATACTGAAGCATAATTTGTAATTTGATGGCTACAGAACTCCGTTTCTGGTTTGTCGCACTTTTTCCAAGTTTCACTACTACTCCACAAGTAGTTAGGTGTTTGCAGACCAGTCATCATCTTCCATAAGATGCAATCATAAAGGAGGCTTTTGATGCAGCATTTTCAACCGATTTCACTCAGTGACAGCCACCTGTCTTTAGTGACCAATCGCCAACCAGGGAATGTGTTTTTTTTTTTTTTCCCCTTGCAACCAGTGGTTGCCACTTAGTTGCCAGCTAGCCTCAAAGCCTGTGTGACTGCTGTCTAACTAGGGCCTTACTAGTATTCAGCACAGACAGTTAACTACGGTCCAAAACTGTCTGTACTAGGCTGTTAATGTGGTTTTCATAGCTGAAGTTGAGCATTTTATCATGGGAATTTGGGGATTCACTCACATCTGGGAACTGCAATTGTGGGCACTTTAGTAAACGGTCCCTTTTTAAAAGAAAATTCCTTCAGGGGTTGCTACATAGAAGATAAAGACCTTCTTCTTGTGCTTGCTGTTAACGTTTTGTTTTACTAACTAATGCAAAATAAAGCCAATAATGTATTATTTTTGTGTGCTTTGCCTTCATTAGCTCTAACAGCCCCTGGTTTTGGGGCAGCCACCACCACCACTGCTGCACCAGCCACAGGCTTTAGCTTTGGCTCCACCAACACTGGTAAGACGCTTATTGTTCAGACTTTCCTTTTAAGACACTTGAAGACTGTTTTTACAATAAATGAACCTGTGCTAAATCTGGCGTTGTGTCATTTAATTCCATGTCATTCTCTCTTTCTCGCTGCCTGCCTGCTTTGGCTGCAGGATTTGGGGGGCTGGGAGCTGGAAACACCACGGCTGGTGGGTTTAGTTTTGGGGGGTTCGGTTTAAATGCAAACCCGGCAGCAGTCAGCTTTAATGTGGGGTGCTTTGGTACAGCAACCACCACTGGCACAATTTTCAATTTTGGTAATAGCCTGGCTAGCACAGGTAGATGACCTTTGTGAATCAGTACACTCTGTCTGTAAACTTACATTTCCATCCATTGTTTGATATCTGTGTGGATCAAGGATCGTTTTCTCTTCACCTGGTGATTCATTTCATGAACACAATGCATCGCTGTGATTGCATGAAGAGATAAAATGTTGAATTTTTAGTCATTTCATTTGATTGCTGTCAAGAGTCACTACACTTTCACCTTTGTGTAGAGGTAAATCGCTATATTGTAGTGAAATTCTCATTCTCCTCTTATTAATCGTAGCAGTTGTGAATTCATTCTGTCATTCTCTCACCTGTTTTGTTTTTTTGTTTTGCTTTTGGAGGGGTTTGTCACCTCATTGAGCACATTTCTTTTCTCTTCTTCTTAGGCGCATTCGGTGGCTTTGGAACAACGACGACAACTGTTGCTGCACCAGGGGCAACATTTAGCTTTGCTCCCCCCGCAACAGGTTAGTTATAGAGCTGGTTTGAACCCCCACTCTGCTTTATTACAGTTAACATTTCTGTGCAAGCCAGGAAAGGTACATGAAGATAATGCTAGGTTTTTGAAGAACATCTTGCATTTCTGGCCAAATTGCAATGCACTGGAAGAGAAAAAAATGGGCTTTAAATCATTTCACATTTATTGATATAATGCAACTAAAGACCCTACCATAATAGAGATAAAACCCCAATAATCTAAGAGCAAGCACTTGGCGACAGTGAGAAGGGAAAAAAAATTAACAGCACAAAATCTCAGGCAATAGCAGGGCCAGCCATCTGAGCCTAGGTGGTAAACATCACCTAGGCTACTTTTGTGCTTATTTTTTGACTCGTGCTGTGTCGCTCTACGTAATGCTTGTTTCAGTGGATTCAAACTTCAAATTAGGAAGTGTGTCATGAGTGGCAGTAGCTCACTGGAAAAGGATAGAAAATTTCCTTCATTTACTTACACCTAAAAACGCTGCCACACTGCAGACAACAATGAAATGTTCATAATTTTATTTAGTTAGATTGTTACCACAAATTTATTTGGAACTATTGTATCACTTTTAAGGCTTCCGTTGTAAAATAACAAATGCTAAAACTGCCAAAAGTCCTTTTAATTTCTGCGGTGTCTCTCCAGCAAAGCTGGAAGCATATTTCCCAAACATTGTTTTCTAAACTCGTTTTTCATGAGCACTCGTACTTCCTCAATCATACTTCCTCCCTGTGTTTGCACGTTGTTTTGTTTTAGGAAGCCTGTTTGGTAACACGCAGAACAAAGGGTTTGGATTCCCGACTGGGCTTAGCACAGCGACTGCTGCAGGAACATCGGGATTTGGAACTGGAACTGGACTAGGAGCAACTAGCCTGGGTGGCTTTGGAGGCTTTAATATCCAGCAGACTCAGCAGCAGCAAGGTAAGAACCTCAATTTCCCTGCAAATAGAGGAAAAATACAAATAAAATGCATATCTGTTGAACAGAGTTAGAAGCCAACCACAGCTATTCAGAATGATATTCTGTTAGAAACAAATCTTTTACAAAGTTCAAAACTGGTGCCAATACCTTGTTGTTATAATTTTGCAACTTTGGGTATCATAAAATTGGAGACATTACACTAAATTCCACATGATTTTCTTGAATCTTTCTTTTCTAGTAAAATGTTTTTTGATTACATTTGAAGAATAAGATAAAATGAGCTGTGACATGTTTTACCTCTGGTTCCCGTGGCCAGGAGGCTTGTTCGGTCAGCAGGCGGGCCAGAATCAGTCCACCCAGCTTTACCAGCAGGTCACTGCTCTGTCAGCTCCCACCTTGTTAGGAGATGAGCGTGACTCCATACTTGCCAAATGGAACCAGCTGCAGGCATACTGGGGCACAGGGAAGGGCTACTACAGCAACAACAACCCACCTGTGGAGTTCAATCAGGAGAACCCATTCTGCAGGTTCAAGGTAAAGACAGAAAGCTCAGCACAGTGTGTTTGGTTTCTTTTGCTTTGAATTTTACATTGTAGTCATGTGTATCTTGTGGTTCCTAGGCGGTGGGGTACAGCTGCATCCCGATGAGTAAGGATGAAGATGGTTTAGTAGTCTTGATTCTTAATAAAAAGGAAGCTGATGTGAGAGCTCAGCAGCAGCAACTGGTCGAGTCCCTCCACAAGATCCTAGGAAGCAACCAGACCCTCACTGTCAATGTAGAGGGTGTCAAAGCCCTGTCGAATGACCAGTAAGTCATAAATATGTGATTATTTTTCTTTTTTTGTTTTTGTTGTAGTAGTAGTAGATCACGTAGAAACACTCTTCTTGTATCTTCTGTCCTTTTTAGAACAGAGGTGATTATTTATTTGGTTGAGCGCTCTCCCAACGGCACCTCCAAGCGAATCCCAGCGAGTACCCTCTTCAACTATCTGGAGCAGGCTAATATAAAGGTCCAGCTCACTCAGATTGGAGTGGCCATGTCAGTGACACGCACAGAGCTGTCCCCAGCACAGCTCAAACAGCTGCTGCAAAATGCTCCTGCAGGTAAATGTGCTTTGGTGTGTTCTTTTCTTGTGTACAGCGGTCCCTCGTTTATCGCGGGAGTTGCGTTCCAAAAATAACCTGCGATAGGTGAAATCCGTGAAGTAGGCAACTTTATTTTTCACAATTATTATAGATGTTTTAAGGCTATAAAACCCCTCACTACACACTTTCTGCACTTTTCTCAGACAGGCATGAACATTTTCACACTTTTCTCTCTTGTTTAAACACTCTCAAAGTTCAAACCTTCGTAGAAAAATAAGTCCAGTATTATAGAATGAAACCAAAGGCACCGCGGTTGCCTTTGACGGTGCAAAACGTTTCGTCAACATTGTTGTGTTTGTTGGGGAGAAAACTTACAAATATACAGTACAGCACTTCAGAGTCACACTGCTAGCAATCAAAGATTTATGTAAATTTGACAAGCTGAACGCGCTCTGTACTGTACAGGGGAGATGGCACGATATTGATTGACAATGCTCTGCAGCCAATCCGGACGCAGAATATAAAGCACTGTTTAAAAAAGAAAAAAACATGCAAAATTGCACACACAAAAAATCCGCAAAACAGCGAGGCCACGAAAGGCGAACCACGTTATAGCGAGAGACCACTGTAATAGAAGAAAGTGTCATTCAAGTTGGTTGTTTTGAATAGTTGCCAATAATTTTTCTTCTTGAACAGGAGTGGATTCTATTATTTGGGAACAGGCCAAGGTGGACAACCCCGATCCAGAGAAGTGAGTTGGTTGTGGTGTTATAAGTTTTTATTATAATTAACGCAAAGTTACCCGAGTTTATAAAAAGCAAGACATCTGGCTAAATAATATGATTTTATTTAACTTAATTGAACCAATATGGAAAATGACAGATAAACATGAATCGACTCCAAGTCTTCATCAGTCTATAACAAACAGTCTGAATTATTTATCTGTTATAAAACCTAGTCTACTACATGGCCCATAGAGGGCGCTAAAGCATAAGCATAAAGTCTGGGCTGACGATAAGATAACTGTTCTATATTGCAAACCATTGAGGGACCAGCAAACGCTAATAAACAGCAAGCAAGCAACATACAAGAATAGAAAAAGCACACTAGAATAAACATCCATGACCCCATTTCACACATTTTTAATAAATTAGTTCATATTAGGAGAAATGGTTTTTTCTAAAAGCCTGCGTAGGAAAAGTCGAGGCACCAATTCCCCAGATTTGATCTAGTTCCGATAATAAATAGTTTCTAAAGGTTTTTTTGTGAGTTGTTACCGTTAACTACAAGTTCAACAAAAATTCAATAAAAGCTGCTGCTTCATTTTGTGTCCAGGTTGATCCCAGTGCCCATGGTAGGATTTAAGGAGCTGCTCCGCAGGCTGCAGATCCAGGAGCAGATGACTAAACAGCACCAGACCAGAGTGGATGTGAGTGTAGTAGTCACTGTTCCTGCTGTTTGTGGTTTTAATTTTCCAGATTTTTCTTTTTCTTAAAGGACTCAACATGGGTGCAGTGCATGTAAGCACAGGTGTTAGTAATGACATGAAGGTTCAGCTTTAATGTGCTTAGAAACACCCGTGTTTACCTGCTATTTCAGGTAGAAATGTTCTGTTAAGAACAAAATCAGTTTGGAAGCAAGTATATTTATATTGTAACACTTTGTAACGCTGATCCCAGCACGAGACACACACAGTTCTCAGTTGCACTTTCAGGGGACGTTTATTTAAACACTGTCCAGATCGCTCAGTTCTGCTTTGGATCTCTCTCCTGCTCAGCCCAGCTCTGCTCCACTGTGCACTCTGTCTGCACTGCTATCCCCAGGCCCCAACAGCTACTGCAATAGGAGAAAGTGTGATTAGTATGGTGAAAATCAGCTGTGTCGGCCAGCCTCCCTTGGCACTGTCTGCTGATCATTGCTCCACCCCTCCCTGCAGCTGAGCCACAAACCACACCCCACCACATACATATGTATATCATAGGACATTTCAAACTAAACTAGAACATGAGATCTGGTAGCTGTGTGGGTTCTCATCTACTTTTTTCTACTTTTTAATATTGTCACTTGAGTCCAGTTCTAATGCTGTTGGTCTTGAACTGTGTGTTTCAGCATAATGTTATAAATGTCAAAGTTCTCGTCACTGTTAAACGCTGCTTCTAAATGAGTCACATTAGTATCTGTTGTAGCGAGTGGACCTTTAAGTTGTATAGAGGTATTAGCCACTCTGCTTTAATGAGGAAGAGGAAGGAGCAACAGAAACACCTGGATCTTTTTAACCTAAATTTCCTGGCAAAGGCGGTTAGTCAAGGTCACAGCCAAGCACAGGTGAGACGGCTACATAACTCTAAAGAAGTACTAAATTTAAGCTACCTTGTGATTTACAGTCAGCTCTAATATCTGTGCAGATTGAGCATCCTTGCCAGGTCAGGTTTGGCATTTTTCTCTGTTGTCCATGGCCCCTGCATTCAAATAATACATTAATTTTGCTCCAGGTGAAACTTTTTCCAAGTCTTTTTGCATTTCCATGAAATTTTGGATGTGTGAAGACCTCTAATATCAAACGTGTGCTTGTTATCAGTTTTTAAAAAAGCATAAAGTACTTTCAATCAAAAGAAATTCTGGAAATGTCACAAAGGTTCATCCTCACTGTTTTCAACCATGCATGTGTGGACTTGCAGATTATCTCCAATGACATCAGTGAACTGCAAAAGAACCAAGCAACCACAGTGGCAAAGATCGCCCAGTACAAGAGGAAGTTGATGGATCTATCTCACCGAGTGCTCCAGGTAGCTGTCTCCCTTTTTTTTTATAAGCCATTCAGACATCCCTACATCTCTGTTAAACTTAGAGTAACTGTAGGAGCTCAAAATTCACTGTTTACATAAATAAAAATAATGTGTGGGAATTGAAAAGTAGAACTGTGTTTTGCATGAAATAAACTGTCATATCTGAATGACATCAGTCTAGAGCTTTCCCTTCACTACTTTATAAGTTTTCTTTTTCTTTTTCCCTTCCATATTTATCTCTCCTCCTTTGTTTCCCTTGGAAGGTGTTGATCAAACAGGAGATCCAGCGAAAAAGTGGCTACGCTATCCAAGTGGACGAGGAGCACCTCAGGGTGCAGCTGGATACCATTCAGTCTGAACTCAATGCCCCCACACAGTTCAAGGCAAGTGTGTTGAAACTGTGGCTGCACAGTGCTATGTTCTTTCAAACAATTAGAGTCGCTATGAAATATTTTTGTAATCAGGTATTCTATCAATTCTCCATTGACTAATTGAGTAATCGCATAAATACGTTTGCCTTAATGAACAAATAGAAATTATTCAAAAGGGGGGGGGAGACGGGCACCATCAGCAGGGCCTGGTCACAGGACCTAGGGGACATATGGGTGCAGAAGCCCTGTGAAATAACCTGGTGCCTGTCCATGAAGAGCTCTCAAAGAATCTTAAATTGCACTCTGAAATAAACTGGAAGCCAGTGTAGCTGCATCAAGATTGGATTCGCATGTGAAAACTTGGAGGATTTCATCAGAAGCCTGGCAACAGCATTTTGAACAATTTGCAACCGTTCTAGGGAGGTTTTGCTAAGACGTGTGTATAGTGCATTGCTGTATTCCAATCGTGACGAAACAAAAGTATGAATAATCATTTCGAGTTGGGGACATGACACAATGGAGCTTCGTTTGTTAGCTTAGTTTCTCTTAGCTGAGTGCTACAAAGAAACAATGCGAAGACTTTTCATTGAGGATATTTTTGTAATAGTTTTTCGAGTTACTTGATGAATCATTGCAGCCCTAAAATGAATGAACAGTTCGTACAGTTCTTAGGAGCTATTAGACGTCAAACATTTGTTTGTTTTTTACAGTATTTGTTCTGTCTTTGTCTTCCAGGGTCGGTTAAATGAATTAATGTCCCAAATCCGGATGCAGAACCACTTTGGAGCTGTGAGATCAGAAGAGCGTTACAGTGTGGACGCAGACCTCCTCAGAGAAATCAGACAGGTGAGTTGGAACTTTAGCACCTCTGACCTGCAGTTGTTGTGCAGGCATTCCCAACATGTGTTCAGTGATTGATGAAACTCGGCCCGAGACTTAAAAAAACACTAAGAAGGAGAACATTAAAGTAACATTTGAGTCTTCCGATACTAAGTTGCAACAAGCTGAAAGATTATCATGATGTTAACATCCAGTCAGGGTTTTCACCCAGCTTCCTTCATGCGCGTAATCTCTGAGGTGCTGACAGTGAACGACCGAAGTAATCACTCTTGCACAGGTGCATTTTCCTTATTGCAAATAAGTGTAACATTGTAAAAACATTAGCTTCAAGGTCGGTCTCAGAGCTTCTGTGTTATTTACTGGTGGCTCTAATCTGAGGAAGACTGCTCTAAACTTGTGGATGAAGGCGGAGACAGTTGAATGCTTAAGTTGAGTTCTCCCGGTAACTGAAACACTGTCTCCTTTTCTCTCTCTTTCAGCACTTAAAACAACAGCAGGAAGGTTTAAGTCATTTGATCAGTGTCATCAAAGATGACTTGGAAGACATCAAACTTATAGAGCATGGGCTGAGCGACAGCGGACACATGAGAGGAGGCATCCTCAGCTGAGTCTGCCCCACCAACCTGCACATGCTCAGACACACAATCCTCCAAAAAAAAAAAATGGTGCATCAGCCATTTAATTTAGAGGTAATCTGCACTGTAGTTCCCTGATAACCCCAGTGATATCTGAACCTGCCTGCTCAGATGATCATTTTGACTAGAATGTGCCTTTAAGTCCCCACGCGGACAGGTTTGTCATTTGCCCCACTTTCTGTACCAGGTAAACACTGACTGGTTAATCTGTGCTTTCTCAACTGACACAGCCCTAATGGAAAAGACTCAACAAAGTCTAATAATAGCTGGGATCCCTTATGTCAAATCAGATTATAATTATAAGACTACAAATGTGACTGGCATGTAAACAAGTTGTGTATGTCACCAGTGAAGACATTGTAAATACATGTTTGTATTTCTTTTTTCTTTTTTATCCTCCTAGAATGTTAATAAATTTCATTTATTGAAAAAAAGCACAGTGAACTTGTACTCAGAACTTGTACTCTTGCACACATACTTTAAACATGGCTAATTTCCCCAATAATCTATTCCTGTGTGGGAAAATGTGTGGGAAAAGTCCACCTATTTTGTGTACTGGGCATTTTCATTGTTTTGGTGCAAATATAGAAACACCCGACGGTCCTTCTTTAGCTCTTCAGGCCAGTCCTTTCCAACATCTCATCAAAGCAGGGCTAGAGTTGATAGGATTTATGTCTCGGATTCACATCCCGGTGGAGATGAAAGACTGATTGGCAGTTGAACTTATTAGGCAGCTTTCATGCAGATTGCATCCCCTCATCTAACTTCTACTTCAGTACCTGGCAAAGAGCTAAACATCTGAATTCTCCAGACCCGGCAGCCTTTGCCTCCTTACTTTCTTCTTATTGTAAATATTTAATACCCATTATTTGTCATTATCTGTTCATCTGCCTGTAAATATTTGGGGGAAAAAGTCCACATACACTACGTTGCCAAAGCTATGTGAGCCACCTACACATTACACATAACAGCCACAGGAGCTTTTTATGATATCCCATTCTAAATGGAGTTCCCCACCATTGCAGCTATGAAAACCATTCCCATTCTTCTAGGAATTCTTTTTGCAAGATTTTCACCCAGAAGAACATTTGTGAGGCCGGACACTGAGGGCTTGGATTGCAGTCTCCGTTCTACTTTCTCCCAAAGGTGTTCAGTGGGGTTGAAGTCAAAGATCTATGTGGACGAGTCAAATTCTTTCATATCTAATTTATCAAACCAGGCCTTTATGGACCTTATTTTGTGCTCTGAAGCATAGTCATACCTTAGTCATTCCATGGCTAAGCAGCTGCGTGCTAGTGTTACACTCCAAGAAGTAGCATACAGCTTTTATGCCATGTCCATAGAGCGATGGTAGCATTTACACTTGTAGCAATGAGACTGAATTCAGGTGTTTGTTTGTTTTTAAAGATTAAGAGGTGCAATTAAGCAGCTTTCATGCAGGTTACATCCCCTCATCTAACTTCTACTTTAGTACCTGGCAAAGAGCCTGCGTCTGTATGTATCACAGCTATTATCACTAACAGAAACTGAGGTCAAGAAAATTATGACACAAGCTGTGAGCTGCATCTGCAGTATGCCCTCCTACATCCACTCATGCAGCTCACTATGGAACCACGAAAGATATCATACTGTATCTATTTTCCATTAACACTTTATAATACAGCCTGTGACTAAAGGCATAATTCCCCAATAATTAAATGGTGTTTCAGTGTATTTTATTTGAAATTGCAATTAAAATGTATTTACCTACAAATACTTAAATGTATGTACACTAGAAAAAGGGAGTAATAACTAATGTTTTTATTAGTAACAAACAATTATATTGTATAGTACATTGTGAAGTACATTTAATTATAGGGAAATTGTGTCTTTAATCAGTTTGTAGTAAAATACATTAAAATTAAACTTAATTACAGGGGAGTCACGCCCTTATTCACCAGCTGTATTAAAAAGTGTTACCATTTTCCCCTCTCCCGTAGTAGTCTCGAGGAACTGTGAATAAACTATGATGTGTATCTGTAACATTATCTGCTCCAAAGATGTTAATAGTGCTCTGAGTACAAATAGACAAGCCAGTATTGCATCTGTTTGATGTTTTTATTCACCAACTAAATAGGTGAACTTTCAGTTAAATAGAAACTTTAAAAATACATAGAAAGTTTTTTAAAAAGTGGTGAAAAAGATCTACGTTGCAATGGAAAAATAATCTTTTTAGTTCATGATGTAAAATACTACTAGTACCCCCAACTATTAAACTTTTCATGATTGTGCATCAAGGTAAAAAGTAAACACAGCCCTTCCAGCATTTCAGCTGGTGCAGCTCCAGCTCCCAGTCCATCCACTCAGGAATGTGCAGAGAGGTCCACCAGACGGAAAGCCTCCATGAACTCATTAATATCGATGCTTCCGTCCTTGTTAAAATCAATGCTCTGGGCCAGGTTTGCAATGACATCATCACTGATCTCTGTCTTGAGATGAGAGCTCAGGAGTTTCCAGGTTTGGCGAAATTCCTCGTAAGAGATCAAACCTTTAGGGGGATGTGGAGGGAGAGGAAAATTCACAAACTTGTGCTATATTGTGTTGGTGACCTTGGAGCTGATCTCAGAAGGTCTTTCACCCATTCACAGAAATAACAGAGAGCATATAAAAAAAACAAAACAGTCAAGCTGAGTAGTAGGACACGGGTCCAACACTGCTTATAAACACTAAAACTGAGAGTTTGGTTGTTAACTAACCTGAGTGATCTGTGTCTATGATTCGAAAGATAGTTTCCAGGTTGGAGTGGTTTTTGTACATCGTCTCCAGTAGGCTGGTATCTGATATCTGTCAGGACAAGATGCATGTTTTGTATTTTGGGGTGCCATACATTTTTCATGGTTTTACAGCTCTGAGCAGAAGGGAAGTAAGTTAAGAACAAATGAGTCACCTCTAGTTTGGGCTCAGTGATGGAGAGCTCCTTCATCCACTCCTGGTAGTCCACCATACCATTCTTGGTGCTGCTTACAAGCTGTGGGCGCAGCACTCTCCAAGGCAAACCCAGCTTCAGCACGCTCTCTGTGGCACTTGCCCAGTGACTTGGAGAGATTATCCCTACGAAAAAGATGGGAAGAATGACGAGCCCTCACACTCTCATATGCTGCCGTTATGATGTGTTTTATGTTCTGAAAATTCTGAATGCTATTTAGTGTAAAGCAGTTACAGCTAACCTGTGTTGTTAGGATCAAACTCTCCGAAGGCACTGATGAGATCTGACTTGTGTACGAACAGCTGTCGCCTCAGAGCTTGTAGAGCTGATCTCTCCGTCCAGCCAACACTGCCGAAAAGCCAAGAAGGAAAAGAAAATCCTCAGGGATTTCATATTTATTAAAACAATGTGTACAGCCATCTTCAGCAAAGGTTTTCACTTGATTTTCCACTTTTCTTCCAACTCAAAAGAACTTTTTGTCAGAAAATCTCATGAAAAACTCTTTGAATTGTTAATGTTAAAATAATGCTTGACTATTTCTCTGTGCTCCTTTACCTTTGTCTCAGTGTGAGCTCTCTGCAAGTCTTGCTGGCCTGATACTGAACAAAGTGAGGGACCAGATCAGCTCCCATTCTTATATAGGCTCCTCTATTGCTGCCCACCTCGTAGTAATTTGAAGCTGAAAAAATTGTTAGTACCTGGATACAAGAGAAGAGATGATGGTAAAAATAAAGGTTTCTTCTGTCACTCAGAAACCTGTGCTTTATGTGCTCACCCTGCGGTTGTGGCAGAACTCATAGCCATCCTGTTTGCATTCATGGGAGCGGATGAGGAGCTGCAGGTTGTGTCTTCCGAGAACCTCCTCCGTGACATCTGGGCCCCAGTAGCAGCCTCCCCCTCTCACTTCATTGGGAATGCAGCCATTTTGGGGCATAGGGTCACTCCACAACAGGTCGACCATCTGGACAGAGGGTATCAATCTGCCTTTTGAACTGTATGAGCACTCTGAAGAATTGGTCTATGTTTGACGACCCTCACTGCCACTTACTTGTTCCCACTCATGCTCGTAGGTCTCTGTTCCTTCTTCACACTCTGGGTCTGAGTCAGAGTCTGGCTTCTTCCTTTCTCCATATGACTGGTCAAACCCAGCCAGCCTACGTCTTTTCTTCAGCTCGTCATCCACGGACCAGTTCATGTGCTGATGGCTGGTGTACAGGTTATGTAGTGAACGTCGTGGGGGGCCTTGAGATGGGGTTGAGCTGTGGTGAGTCAGAGATCGCACCCGACGTCGAAAGTCCACTGGAACGCCGGCGTCTCCGTTCCTTCTGTTCGTTGTCTGGCTGTTGCTGCCGTTCACTGCTAGCTTAGTCATCTTTGGAGGTCTGAGGGTTGACGCATACTGTGCATGTTGAAAAAACAAAACACAGATGAAGTATGCAGACATTTCTGTTTTCTTAGAACAAAATTCAACTTAAAACACAACGAACTGAAAGTGAAAGGTCTTTCTTACTTTGTGTCTGTCCACTCTGGCTATTACGTTCAGGTCTGTTGTGTCAGAGATCCCTCCATGCGCAATCAGCACCTTGTGATCAATCACAGTAGCCAGAGGTAGCCAGCTGAAGATCTTTTGGAGAAGCTTAAGGATCTTCTTGCCGTGCACCTGCAGATCAAGTCATCTTTATCATACCTTGTATATAGTCACGGTCATTATTATCATAATCCATCTTCTTCTGCAGGGCTAACACAAACATAGATATAGACAAACATTCACTCCTAAGGTAAATTTTTTCTGGCAGTAACTTTTTTGTTTTACAGAAAAACAGTAAAATTCAATGCATGTTTAAAAAAATACATGGAAATTCCTTCTTTTTTAATATTGTACATTCTAATGTATTTTTATGCATTTAGTTTTATATTATTTGTTTATTTGTTTACTGTTTGGGTGTCAAACTGAATGCTAATATTAAAGTAAGTTTAAGCCTTACCCTATATTTTCCCAAAACTTCTTTAGTAAAGCCATATCTGGGAAAACACACAATGAATGACAAAATTAGTAAACACATCACATGTTGGATCGATATAAAAATGATTTCTTAAAGCTAGACTATGACTGCATTCTGACTGAAGATGTAAAACAAAAAAACAGAAATGAGATCGAGATTGAGAGAAGAAAGTGTTCTGAAGACTGGCTTACCTTAGGTTAACAATGTGGTCCTCATGGTTCCCTCTGTTTAAATGAACATCATTGGGGTAGACTAGCAGGAACCCAAACAAGATGAGCAGAATCTCCAAGGAGTTTTTGCCACGATCCACAAAGTCCCCATTGAACACATACGGTTTCTCAGTAGATGGCAAACCATTCTGGACAGTTTTAAGAGGAAAGTTTGATCAAATTGAACATCTATGAGTGGCAAGCCTGTTTGAAATGTGTGGATTGTGTAGCCTAGCCTACTTTATAGAATATCAAT